ACTCAGCAGCACGCCTCCAGCGGCGAGCGAACCACTCGCGCAGCTCCTGTGGAGAGAGGGGCTCCCGGCGAGACGCAGCAGCAGGAGAAACCCCAGGCTCAGCAGCTCCAGACGCAGCACCCCCAGGCTCAGCAGCTCCCAGCTCAGCACCCCCAGGCTCAGCAGCTCCCGACCCAGCACCCCCAGACCCAGCACCTCCAGGCACAGCACCCCCCGGCTCAGCACCCCCAGGCTCCGCACCCTCCGCAGTAGCACCCTCAGGCCCAGCACCCCCAGCAGTAGCACCCCCAGGCTCAGCACCCCCGCGCACAGTACCCCCAGAGTCAGCACCCCCAGGCTCAGCACCCGCAGCAGCACCAGAGTCACCAGTAACCTCGACCGGGTCAACGGCGTCTACCTGGGACACACCTGAGGGGGCAGGAACCTGAGGGGGGAGGGGGTCTACCGGGGGGGGAACCGGCACAAGGAAGTCCGGGGGAGGGGGGAGGGAAGGAGTGCGGTAGGGGAAGAGACGGTAGAAGGGGACTGACTAGTCGAACGTGACGTCCTGGGAGGACAGAACACGACGAGAGGAGGGGTGGTAAAACTGCCACCCTGGGGCGTCAGAGGGGAAGCCAAGGAAGACACAGGGAGCAGCACGAGGGGACAGCTTGTCCGCAGACAAGTCGCGGACAAACGCCCGAGATCCCCAGACACGGAACACAGACGCATCGCCAACCTTCCCCGTCCACAGCAAGGCTGGGGACATCGCAGGCCGAGAGACCCGGGGGTGAAGGTTGAGCTGATGCGCCGCGTACCTCACCGCAAACGGCCACAGAAAATGGGGGGCAGCCGCATGCATCATGGACGTACGAGCGACATCCATGACCATGCCAATGCGGCGCTCAGCAATCCCATTTTGCTGTGGTGAGTCCGGAAGCGTGAAGGTCTGGCGAATCCCCCGTGCACGACAGTAGTCCCGCAGAAGGCGAGAAGAGAACTCTCCGCCTCTGTCCGAGTGCAGACGCAGAACAGGAAAGTCCGAGCCGAAGCTCTTCCTGAGCTGGAGACGAACCTCGCGGATCCAGTCGATCAGCACCTCAGTGACCGCACCCTTGCTGCGCAAGGGGAGGACTGTGGTGTAACGCGAGTAGTCGTCAACCACCAACAGGAAGTAGCGCTCGTGACCCTGCCCACGGACGGGGGCTCGGCCCCACACATCCATGTGAAGCGTCTGCAGGGGAGCCTCTGTCGGGGGGAAGTGGGAGGAGTGAGGAGTAGCCCGGAGGCGACCCTCGACACAGGGGACACAGGAAGGTCCTGGCCCGGAGGGGAGAGGAGGGAGAGACTGGGGAAGACCAGAGACAAGGACACGGGAAGCCATGCTCCGAAGACGGGGCAAGGAGGGGTGGCCAAGACGGTGGTGCCACAGGAGAGTCTCGTGAGACAGGAGGCGACAAGAACAAGGGGCAGACTCAGGACCTGACCGGGACGCAGCAGCAAGCACCTGACCCGACGCAGCCACCCGACCAGACGCAGGGACAGGAGGAGACTCAACAGTCAGGGTGTAGAGACTCGACCCCGGCCGACGCGAGAACGTGGCCAGGTGTCGGCCTGTGCGTGCCTCCATGCAGTGGGTCACCCGCTGACTCGCAGGAGTGAACTGGTGAACCCCCACATCCTGCAGGTCCGCTCCACTCACCAAGTTCGTAGAGAACGAGGGAAGGTACAGACCAGACAGGGTGCCCGAAGGGGCAGCCGGACACGGGAGGACAGTGGAGAAGTGAGACAGGACAGGACCCCCAGAGGGGTCAGCAAGGGAGACCGCAACCGGCCGGCCGAGCGGCGTAAGGGTAGTGCGGTCTCGAAAGAAGGAGCGAGAAGCCCCGGAGTCAAGTGTGAAAGTGAGGGAGGACGAGGACGACGCAGTACCTGAGAGCGCAGTCTCACCAGTACCTGAGAGCACAGACGCACTGGCACCTAGAGCAGCAGCCTCACAAGCACCTAGCGCAGCAGTACCAATGCCCGGGTCGGGCTGGAAACACCGGTAACCCTCATTCTCCTCACTATAATCCACAGCATACATAGCAGCAAGGATAGCATCAAAATCAAGATCAAAGATCGCTACACCAGCCCTTAGAAGCTCATCCCAGCGAGGGATCTCACTAGCCCCAGGGAACTGCTGACGCCAAGCGTCCGTCAGGCGGCCAAAGCAGCGCTGGGTGGCGTGGGCACCCCCACACTGCTCACCCGCGCGGTCGCCGGAACGAAGAACGTAGGTGCAGGGACCAGTACCCCCACCCCTCTGACGCCCAGCGTACCACTCACGAAGCTGCTGAGGCGGAGGGATGTCCCGCGAGCGCTGCTGCTGCTGCCGCTGCGAGCGCTGGCCACCACCACCGCCGCTACGCTGCTGGGTACCACCCCGACCAGATCCACCTCCTCCACCACCACCGCCTCCTCCGCTGCCGCCTCCACCGCCTCCACCTCCGCCGCCTCCACCTCCGCCGCTGCCTCCACCACCACCGCTGGCACCACCACCACCGTCTCCGCCGCTGCTGCCACCACCACCACCACCCCCGCCACTAGTCCCGCCGCCACCCCCACTCCCTCCGCCGCCACCGCCGCCACCGCCACCGCCCCCTCCAGCTCCACCCGCGCCCTTGCCCCCCTTGCCCTTGCTGGAGCGACGTCTCCCACTAGGGGTAGACGCCGCGCCGACCGACTCAAGACCAAGTAGGTCGGCAGCAGCAGCAGAGGCAACAGAGGGCAGCAAGGGGGAAGGAGAGCACCCCTCAAAGATGGGGGTGCGAGGGTCACCACGAGAAGCACCTACAGCGACTATGCTCTTCTACGCTGCGAGGAGGGCCTTCTCGAGGAGGTCGACGGTGAGGGTGGTGGGACAGACTGCGAGAAAGTGGTCCCTGACGACGCGAAGGGAGTCAGGGAGGCGCGCGACTACGTAGTAGAGAGCGATGTACATGGGGGGTGGGTTCTTAGCGCAGAACTCAGCAGGAAGGGCGGCGCGGTAGCGAGTGTCACTAGTGCGGAGGTGCGTAACGAGGTCAGCAACAGTGGGAAAGGCAGAGAGGTCAGGAAAGAGGTAGGGAAGCATGAGACGGCTCAGTGCAGCAGTGGCAGGGGAGGAGTAGCGCGCAACTACAGCGTCGTACAAGGTCTGAGCACTCTTGTACTGACTAAAGTGCGCACGCTCAGAGGTAGGGAGGTGGCGACGCACAGCAAGACGTGCAGCAGCATCGCGGGTGGCCCACTGAGAGCGGACAGTGGGATCAGCATCAGCAGCAGGAGCAGGAGAGGCGCCAGAGGTGAGGTCAAAGAGAGAAAGGTCGTCAGCCCTGTCGCACTGTAAGAACAGCTGCAGGTCGTCTAACCAGACCTCAAAATCAATGGCGCGACCCTCAGCGTCAAAAGCTAGGACACTAGGGGTAGCCATGGCGACGACAGCGACGCAGTGCAAGCAGTAGGGAAAGAGCTCGCAGTGTCAGTGGGACTGTGCTCACCAGGCAGGGCAGGTCGTGCAGCTCTGCAGAAAGGCGGCTCAGCGACCGGGCGGCTCGGGTGCACAGCGGCTCGGCTCCCGGGCGGCTCGGCGGCTGGGCGGCTCGGGCGCAGGGCGGCTCGGCTCCCGGGCGGCTCGGCGGCAGGGCGGCTCGGGTGCAGGGCGGCTCGGCTCCCGGGCGGCTCGGCGGCAGGGCGGCTCGGGGTTGGGCGGCTCGGCTCCCGGGCGGTTCGGCTGCTGGGGTGGCTCTGCTGCTGGGGCGGCTCGGCCGGGAGATGCAGGGGCGGGGCCGTCAGGTGCAGCGGCGGGTCGACTGGTGCAGAGGCGGGCCGGCAGGTGCAGCGGCGGGGCCGTAGGGTGCAGCGGCGGGCCGACCAGGTGAGGCGGCGGGCCGTAGGGTGCAGCGGCGGGCCGTAGGGTGCAGCGGCGGGCCGGCAGGTGCAGCGGCGGGGCCGTCAGGTGAAGCGGCGGGCCGCTGGGTGCAGCGGCGGGCCGGCAGGTGCAGCGGCGGGCCGGCAGGTGCAGCGGCGGGGCCGTCAGGTGAGGCGGCGGGCCGTAGGGTGCAGCGGCGGGCCGTAGGGTGCAGCGGCGGGCCGGCAGGGCCGCGTCAGAGCCGGAGGCGGGGCCGCGTCAGTGGAGGCGGCGGGGCCGCGTCAAGCAGGCGGCGGGGCCGCGACGAAGCGGGCGGCAGGGCCGCGTCAGAGCCGGCGGCGGGGCCGCGTCAGTGGAGGCGGCGGGGCCGCGTCAAGCAGGCGGCGGGGCCGCGACGAAGCGGGCGGCAGGGCCGCGTCTGAGGGACAGCGGGGCCGCGAGGGAAATGGCGACCCGAGGGGTCGCTAAAAAAAGGCGCGCCTCGGGGCGCGCTTCGGTGGGCCCTAAAAAAAACGGTCCTAAGGAAGGACCCGCTCTATACCATGTGAAACAAGTGAACAGGAATGGGAATGACTAAGTAAGAGTTGGGTACAAATACAACCCTAGAAAGCTGTACCCCATATGTGCTACCCCACTATAGCCTACAAACATGCATCAGCTATAATACTCTGACAACGATCGAGTGAGTTGGAAGAGAAATTGGGAGAATGATGTTTCACTATAGGGTTCGAAGTACATATAGCATAGGAAACAAAGAAGGTGCACCACCAACCACAGTTTAAATAACTACACTAACTACAGGTACAGGCAGTTACAAATATAAGTTTTGACATCGCTCGCAGGTCAAGGCGCCACCTGCTAGAGTCACGCAGACGAGGCCCGTGAATCACGCCAATTTCTTTTGAAACGAGTGAAACTATGGGCGACCCTAGGCCGACCGCCTCACACGCGGATGGGCCTTCTCTCAGATTAGTTTCACCTTTGATTCACGGCGAATCTCGAGCCGCCTCGAAACACAGCCCGACACTATATATTCGTTCGCATCTCCACTCTCCTCCATCATTTGTAGAAACAGTTTCGGTTAGAAGAGTTCACATCGCGATCAAGTCGAAGTTGAGTCCACTAAGCCATGACCATGTTTCGCGCTTTCCTACTGTTGCTCTGTGCGCTCGCGGTTGCGCACCTGGCGGCCGCGGCGGAGTTCAATCCCGCTCTCGCCACTCTCGCCGCAAGCCCCGACGACAGCCTCCTCGCCACGGGCAAAGCGCTCGCAGATGACGCAAGCGAGGACGCGGATGTGCTTATAACGAACCGCGCTCTTGCAGAGGAGGGCGAAGCGTCGCGCCACAATGGCGCTGTTCGCGTGCTGACGGAGGTCGACCTGCTCTCCCTGCTGGCGGAGGGGGACGCTTATGCTGACGTGGCGGACACGCGGAGGAGCCTGAAGAAGAGGTGGAAGAAATGAAAGAAGGGGAAGAAGGGGAAGAAATGCAGGAAGGGGAAGAAGGGGAAAAAGAATGGTGGCGCGGTAGCAGCACCCGGTGGGGCGGGGGCGGCACTTGGTGGGGCGGCACCTGAGGGGGCGGCACCTGAGGGAGCGGCACCTGGTGGTGCCGACGCTGGCGGGGATTCAGGTGCGGCTGCGCGCAGCATGGCGGAGGTCGACCTGCCCTCCCAGATTGAGGAGGGAGATGCTGATGCTGAGGTAGCAGACATTCACAGGAGCCTGAAGAAGAAGGGGAAGAAATGCAAGAAGGGGAAGAAATGCAGGAAGGGGAAGAAGGGGAAGAAGGGGAAAAAGAATGGCGGCGCGGTAGCAGCACCTGGTGGGGCGGGGGCGGCACCTGGTGCTGAGACCCCTGCCGACGCTGGCGGAGATTCAGGTGCACCGAGTGGGGGCGAGGAGGCAGGCCCTGATGGCGCGGCTGCTCGCAGCATGGCCGAGGTCGACCTGCCCTCCCCGCTGGCGGAGGGCGATGCTGATGCTGACGTGGCGGACACGCGAAGGAGCCTGAAGAAGGGGAAGAAGTGCAAGAAGGGGAAAAAGGGCAAGAAATGCAAGAAGGGGAAAAAGAATGCAAGCAAGGCAGCAGCACCTGGTGGGGCGGCACCTGGTGCTGAGACCCCTGCCGACACTGGTGCTGATTCAGTTGGCTCGGATGGCGCGCCTGGTCGCAGCATGGCGGAGGTCAAACAGCTCCCCCCACTGGCGGAGGGAGATGCTGATGCTGATGCTGCGGACACGCGGAGGAGCCTGAAGAAGGGGAAAGAGGGCAAGAAATGCAAGAAGGGGAAGAAGGGGAAAAAGAATGCAAGCAAGGCAGCAGCACCTGGTGGGACGGCACCTGGTGCTGAGACCCCTGCCAACGCTGGTGCTGATTCAGTTGGCTCTGATGGCGCGCCTGGTCGCAGCATGGCGGAGGTCGACCAGCTCCCCCCGCTGGCGGAGGGAGATGCTGATGCTGATGCTGCGGACACGCGGAGGAGCCTGAAGAAGGGGAAGAAGTGCAAGAAGGGGAAAAAGGGCAAGAAATGCAAGAAGGGGAAGAAGGGGAAAAAGAGTGCAAGCAAGGAAGCAGCACCTAGTGGGATGGCACCTGGTGCTGAGACCCCTGCCGACGCTGGTGCTGATTCAGTTGGCTCTGATGGCGCGCCTAGTCGCAGCATGGCGGAGGTCGACCAGCTTCCGCCACTGGCGGAGGGAGATGCTGATGCTGATGGTGCAGACACGCGGAGGAGCCTGAAGAAGGGGAAGAAGTGCAAGAAGGGGAAAAAGGGCAAGAAATGCAAGAAGGGGAAGAAGGGGAAAAAGAATGCAAGCAAGGCAGCAGCACCTGGTGGGGCGGGACCTGGTGCTGAGACCCCTGCCGCTGGCGCTGATTAAGTTGGCTCTGATGGCGCGCCTGATCGCAGCATGGCGGAGGTCGACCAGCTCCCCCCGCTGGCGGAGGGAGATGCTGATGCTGATGCTGCGGACACGCGGAGGAGCCTGAAGAAGGGGAAGAAGTGCAAGAAGGGGAAAATGGGCAAGAAATGCAAGAAGGGGAAAATGGGCAAGAAATGCAAGAAGGGGAAGAAGGGGAAAAAGAATGCAAGCAAGGCAGCAGCACCTGGTGGGACGGCACCTGGTGCTGAGACCCCTGCCGACGCTGGTGCTGATTCAGTTGGCTCTGATGGCGCGCCTGGTCGCAGCATGGCGGAGGTCGACCAGTTTCCCCCGCTGGCGGAGGGAGATGCTGATGCTGATGCTGCGGACACGCGGAGGAGCCTGAAGAAGGGGAAGAAGTGCAAGAAGGGGAAAAAGGGCAAGAAATGCAAGAAAGGGAAGAAGGGGAAAAAGAATGCAAGCAAGGGAGCAGCACCTGGTGGGACGGCACCTGGTGCTGAGACCCCTGCCGACGCTGGTGCTGATTCAGTTGGCTCTGATGGAGGTCGACCAGCTCCCCCCGCTGGCGGAGGGAGATGCTGATGCTGATGCTGCGGACACCCGGAGGAGCTTGAAGAAGTGCGAGAAGCGCGAGAAGCACGAGAAGCCGCGTGAGCTGAACGAGAAGGGCGGGAAGCGTGAGGAGGGCGCGAAGCGCGAGGAGGGAAAGAAGCACTAGAAGCGTCAGCTGAAGGAGAAGCGTGAGAAGGTGGAGGGGGAGGAATGAAAGCAGGGTAGGAGCAGCTGCTTGTGGGACCTCGCCCGATGCCAGTGCTGGGGCTGATTCTAGAGACGATATGGACATGCGAGGGTTGATGTTACGGGTTTGGATTTTGCCGGGTTTCGTTTTGTCTTCAGAGATCTACTGGTGGGGTTTTGGGAGTGTATAGCTTGCGGGTTAGTTTCTTGGGTTTGTTGCTGAGATTACTTTGTTTTTAAGGATCGGTGATACAAGGCTATCATAACCAGATTTGGGGTCGCAACCAGGGACTTAGCAATGCAAGCGAAGAAAATGGAAGTGTGGGGCGGGGACGGAAAGAAAAGGGATGGCGAGAGGATTGAGGTGGGAATGAAAGCCATGGGCGAAAAGGAAGGGTGTGCGGGGAGGAGGGGAGGCGAGACGAGTATTGGAGGCAAGTCGGGCCTCTTGATAAAGCTGGCGGGCAGTTGTCGGGTGTGTGTGAGTGTGTATTAGCGGAACTGGCGCCTCGTGAGAGGGAGTGTGTGCGAGCGGGCGCGACGAATGTGAGAGTGCGAGAGCTCGTGAAACCGCGAGCGGAGGCTAGGCGAGGGGAAGAGAGGCGAGCCTGAACGGATGCGAGATGAGGCCGCGTTTGGTGGCGAGACAGTAATGAGAGGTGAGGGTCGCCGCGATTGAACGCAAGCTGGCGCGGCTAGCGCTGTTCAAGAACCAACATGAGAGACAGGCATGTATGGAGTAGGTGTGAGTGTCTCCCTTGCGGTGAAAGGGGCGAGAGTGAGAGGGCGGGCGAGGCGTTGGTGCAGGGTGCATAGTTATTGTAACATTTTCGTTGATTCTCAAGAATATAGCGTAGGGTACAGACCAAGCGAAACACCAGTCAACTGCGACCGGTGAGGGGTGTTTGGGAATCAGGCTGTAATAGGGTAACAGATAATCTCAAAATTCAAAATATGCGAAGCTCCGTTTTGCAGACTGTATGTTCGCGGAAAGAAAGTCATTTCAGACTTTTTTGTCGAAGTTGAGTTGTCGCACTTCTTGAGGTTGCTCGAGGCCAACCCTAACTCGAGGTTGCTCAGAGGTGAAAATTTTGAACAAACAAATACTGCACTCGCGCGACTCGAGGCCAACCCTAACTCTTGGAAGTACTTGCCCGACTTCGAAAATACCGCGCGTTGCCTTTGGACCTAGCTGACTAATCTGTACCGAACCTCGCCCCCATCTTATTACTTCCTAGGCTTCACTTCTGTGTCGATTCATTCAGTCACAGCTATGTTGTTCGCTCTCCCTTTTGTAACTCATAAAAAATAACCTAGATTTTGAGGCCACAAACGTGTATGAACAAAAGTCGTTAGCACTTGTTCACCCCCCCATTCCCTCGGATATCACTCTCGCTTTACCACTCGATCCAATCACAGGCGGCCTTCCTCTTGCGCCATGGCAGGGGACGCGGCGGCATTCGCGCCGTTCACCTCGGAGGCCGAGAGGAGGGTCCACTTCATGCGCCTCGCCATCGCGCAGGTGCATGACGTGGCACTCGCCGCGCTCCGCTCCTCTCTGCTATTGCACCTGCCCCCCTCTCCGCGCTGCTCTCCTCCTCTCCGTCCCTGAGTTGATCTAATCTTCTCCGTGCCTGAGTTGATCTGATCTCCATGCGTCAAAGTTGATAATCGCCAACTCATGCAAGGGGCTGACTGCATGTGATTGATCTGATCTTCTCCGTTCTTCCTCTCCTCGCCCTGCCTTTCCTCGCCCTTCCCTCACATACTGCTGCCAACAGACCCCTCTTTCTCACTCTCCCCACAGTCACGCTACCCCTCTTACTGCTATCATCACTCTGCTATCATCACTTCCACTCGCGCCACTACTCCCTGCACTGCCAACACTCCTGTTGCGTGCTGGTTTTGCTCCATTCCTATGCCACCTTTCAGTCCTATCAGCACTTCCGTTTCCTCCCGCTTCTCCCCCCATACCCTCCCCTCCTCCTACCCTCCGCGCCTACTCTCCTCCCCTCTTCCCTTCCCCTTCCCCCCGCTCACCAGCAGTACAGGAGCGCAGGGAGCAGAGCTACTGCAGTGCGAGGGGGGCATACTGGCCAGCGAGGCTATAGACCTCTTCCGGCGATTCTACAAGCGAGGTAACCCCAACGGTCTATCACCACTCTGGCCCTGCTCCTCACCCACCACCCGCTGCTGCTTCCCCACCCACTGATCGTGACTTACTCCGCCCTTCCCTCAGTTTCTCTCCCATCCCACCAACCAATTTCCCTCCTTCCAAACACAATGCTGTCCCGCTTGCACACTCCTTTCATCTTCATCGCCCTTTTCCCCTCTCCCTCTCCCCTCTCCCCTCTCCCCTCTCCCCTCTCCCCTCTCCCCTCTCCCCTCTCCCCTCTCCCCTCTCCCCTCTCCCCTCTCCCTTCTCCCCTCTCCCCTCTCCCTTCTCCCCTCGCCCCTCTTCCTTCTCCCCTCGCCCCTCGCCCCTCACCCCGTGCGCACCAGCACCAAGGCCCCATCGCCCCGTCAAGCCAGGGACGCCTGGGGCCAAGATCACAACCTGATGAGCCAGACCTGGTTTGGCTCCCGGCCGGCCTTCTCACGCTCAATTCAAACTCTTGCTCACTTCGCATCGCATGCCTTTGCCGTGTCGTCCTTTCTCCGCTCTGCTGGTAGCTTTCATGTTGCTCAGTGCTCGCGATCCAAGCCTGTTGCATCAAATCACCTTGTTTGCCAGGCCAGGCCTATGGTACCGTACCATGTCTTTTTGTAAGTGTTCCAGACAGCAACCTTACGGAGCAGAAATACCGCAGTTGCTTACATGAGAATGTTCTGCCACGGATGGTGAGCATATGTGGTGCTCAATTAACCCTGTTTCCGTCACGTCAGCCCTTTGTTGTTAGACATGCTGATGTTTTAAAGAAATGGTTTTCTTTCTGTGGTATTATGAAAGATCCGGTGAAGAAAGTAAGTTTCAAGTATTCTGTGCTGGTTTAGGTGCCTTTTCTGCAGCTGCTATTCCTCCTTTTGTCATCAGCTGAACAAGATGGGTGTTCACCGGCTTGATAGTAGGGCCCTAGGTATCAGACTTTTTACGCTGATTCAGCGTTAGATCATACTTTTTTCTATACACTCCTCTGAAGTCGAAGTTTTTTCATATGTATGCTGGCTGATTTTCCAGAGTATTTGTTTATGCCTTCTCTGTTTTTACAGCCTTAAAGTTTGAGTGTACGCTGTGCCTCAGCGTACTATCGGGGGTGCACTCTGAAACCGGGCTTACGGGGATTCTGGACAGCAAGGCGGTGTGTAAGTATAACACCGTCAATCACGGCGGATAAATTGTATTTCCCCACCGCGGCACCGCTCTGTCGCGTTGGTACAGCAAAGATGCCATCAGCGACATTTCCAACCAATCGGGACTGTGCAGCAACCAGCGTTGGCAACATTCCTTGCCAACGCATAGCTCGCAGCGCGCTGCGCCACGCACGACACCAGAACCATTCACCCCACCCCACCTGTGCTGCATACACGACCAGGTGACGTACATGCAGGGAGCAGTGAGGGTTTCATCTTGAGGAGGTCCTAAAAGGGGACCTCCTCAACTCACCCAGCGTGACCGTTCCAACAATTCCCTCTGTCGCCTGGCTCTCCCTCACATCTTTGCCATCCCCTGTTACTACTGCCTGATCCCTCGTGTCAGGCAGTTTCTCCCAACCTAGCAAAACGCAGCTCGGCAGACTCAATGGCTGCCACGGACACTGCTGCGGACGAGCTGGACGACGACGACAATGTAGGTCGTCGCCGTCTAGGCGACATGGCGACGGGCCTCGACTTTCTGAAGTCGTCCTTAGCTACGCCTTGTGCACCGCCAGCGGCACCGTCTCTGCCCAGCACGAGTCACGCTCCAGAATCTGTGCACCTGGATTCTCTGCCCGAAGCCGCCACAGAACATGTGACAAACACGCCTCGGACGGAGCTACATGAGGTGTCCGACGAAACTCCATCCCGTCAAGCGCCACTACCGAAGTTGCGTTTACGGCAGGCAACCATTGCGTGGGGAACTCCACCACCTGCTTCGAGTGTTCATGCCCCTGTGGCAGAGGAATCACCCAATCAGGACAGCTCCAAACCCCGTCCCGAAAAAGTAGTGCTGAATTACGAAGAAGCGCACGACCGTTTCAAGTCGAGGTGGTGTACAGATTATCTATGGCTGATACTAACTATGACTGCTGCTGGTGCCCCCTCTTTTAAGTGCAGCATCTGCATGGAATTCGTGGGATTGGCAGGCAAATGTGGACGGCGTGGAGAAGGCGCTACCGATGTGCAGACACAGGCCTTCAAGAAGCATGAGGGTACCTCGAAGCATCGGTTAGCATTGCAAAGGCAGGACGACCTGCTGCAGAAAGTGGAGGGACAACGCCGCATCGATCTACACCCCAAGGCGCAGGACAAGGAGATGGTGCAGATGTCGGCACTAGCGGAGTCGTTGTACTTCATGAGCAAGTGCAACGAGCCCATGGACTCATGGATCCGGCTCGTGCGCTACCTCGCGAAGAAAAAGGTGCCCGGGTTTCCGGAGAACGGTTACGGCACGTACTACAACACGTACGTCTTTCATGTGTTTCGTCATTTTTTAAAACATTGCCCTCTCATTTGCATTTTGTTTGTCGCTCACTCCCGTGGTGTTTTTTCTATTACAGGTACGGCTTTGGTGAGGTGACTTAGCAATCGCGACTTGGCTCCAAACAACACAGCTGGAGCATCTTCTAACGAGTCCCTTCATCGGGATCACGCTGGATGAGAGCACCGATCGGCGACGTGGCAAACACATGATTGTGTTTGCCACCTTCATCCGCGATGGCGCTGTCGTCACCGAGTTTCGCGCACATCTCACAGTTGAGAAGCCAGACGCCGCATCCATTTCAGGCCTCCTCCTTTCCCACCTCAGGGCTGTCGGCGTGGACCTCCGCCGAATATCGGGCATGAGCACAGACGGGGCGATGGTCATGGTGGGGCAGCATACAGGAGTGGTTGCACGCATCCGAATGCTCATCCCCAACCTCGTCTCGTTCCGCTGCATCGCACACCGGTACGCCTGGCTCTGCAATTTTAACATGTTTAAGGTAGTGTTATTATTTACCTATATAATCTTGTGTGTGTTGTGTTGCTTGCAGAGAAGCATTGGCTGCAAAAGCTGCAACAGAGGAGATCCCCACCTTCAACATGGTCGACGACGTCATCCGCGCCGTCGCGGAGTACCTTGGGCGTTCGGGTCCTTGGCACCAACGCTTCATGGAGCTCCAAGAGGTCTTCACATCCATGAACCTCGAGGTGCAAGGCATACACGAGGTTCGATGGCTGTCGCGGGGTGCTGCAGTGTCGCGCTTCGTCAAAGTCATGCCCGCCATTATTGTGATGCTGTACGAGTGGAAGGACCAAACGATGTACGAGTTGGTAACTTCGTATCGTTTCCAGTTCCTTGTGAGGTTTCTAGCGGACGTGCTGGATCTGCTGGACGTCCTGCTGCTATTCCTCCTTTTGTCATCAGCTGAATAAGATGGGTGTTCACAGGCTTGATAGGTTGCTGCTGGATCTAGGGGCTCAGATTTCAATCGTTTTAGTCTGCTTTGTCCGATTTTCAGACTTGTGTACGTATGATTAGCCAGAGTATTCTCATAAAGAAAGAAGAGGGCCGTACGAGAGGGCCCGGCCTGGCAGGGACCAGATATTTGTGAAATCTTGAAGTACACTTGTCGTAGGTGAAAGACTAGAAACCCTCAAGACTTAATTTAGCGAGCAGAGTGAAGGAGGCAATGTCCCTCAAGACCAGAAACCCCCTTTGGCGAACATCTCACAGAGATCACTTACGGCAATGCATGCCGTCCCACCCCTGTAAATCTAACCCACTTGCACCCATTCGCCCCAACCCACGAGAAAACTAATCTTTATTCTCATCTCCTTCCCAGCATCCTCAACTTCTCCCTTTATTCCCATTCCCCAAGAACGCTGATTTCCCTTCGTTTCCAGTTCGCGCCACTACTTGGCCTTCTTCTCGAGCGCCTTAGCCTTGGCGATGAGCGCCTTAGCCTGCTTCCTCAGCTTCTTTGCCTTCGCCTTCAGGGCCTTCTTTGCCTTCTTCCCCTTCTTCCCCTGCTTGCCCTTCTTGCCCTTCCCTTTCTTCCCCTTCTTCCCCTTCTTCCCCTTCTTCCCCTTCTTCCCCTTCTTCCCCTTCTTCCCCTTCTTCCCCTTCTTCCCTTTTTTCTCCTTCTTACCCTTCTTCCCCTTCTTGTTCTTTTTCAGGCTCCGCCTATACTCCTCCACTGCCAACGCAGCGCCTTCCGCTTCCCCGGGGGAAAGAAAGTCCTCCTCCGCCAGAACGCGAACAGCGCGCGCATGCGGAGACTCCCCGCCCTCCGCCGCGAGAGCGCGGTTCGCTATAATCACATTCGCGTCTTCGCGCACGTCTCCCGTGAGCGCCTTGCCCGTGGCGAGAAGGCCGTCATGCTCGGGGTTTGCGGCGAGAGTGGCAAGAGCGGGGTTGAATTCCGCCGTCGCGGCGGGTACGTGCGCCGCGGCGATCACACAGAGCATCAGCAACAAAACGCGAAGCGAAGCCATGATTCTGATCACTCAAATGGACTGGAGTAGATGAAATATGTTTGGATTGTATATCTACAACTGATGTAAAAGTACGTAGTTGCGCGGGACTTATACTGCCGAGAGCTCAGCAGGGAGATCATGTGTGAAAGGCAACGGGAGGATTGCCGTTGAGTCCGTTGGCGCGACGCGGAATCTACCGCAAACAAGAGGAGATGTCGAAGCGCGCTGCTTACGACCATCATTGGGGACCCCGTCAAAGACGCGAAAATCTGGAGTGCGCGAATCAGTTTTTTGAGTCGACTCAAAAGTGAAGATCTGGAGTGCGCGAATCAAGGTTTCTGTGACGCCGTTTCGCTTTTCTTGACGACAATTGTACAGTTTGTCACGACAGTTTCGTCTCTGCGCTGCGAGTGATCGCCAACGAACCGTGAATAGCTGATTACCGTGCACTATTCGCTGATCAGCCAATAATGCCAGGGATGATGGATCTTGAAGGCCACTGTTGCCTAGAATTGATCGCAATAATTCCACCAATCGAACTCAGGCAGCGGCACCGCGAGTGTAAGGAATTTTCCCAAATTCCTTATCGGGGTTGACTGCTTAGCGTACAACCAG